TAAGAACATGAGTAGACATTACATGCCTGAGACCTTTAAAATTATGATTTACTAATATAACAGGTAAGTAAGCAGTGATACTTACTTACCTACTATTACTATTGTTGTTTATCTAGTCATGAATATTTATTTGTCATGGAACACTTAAGATCTGAGGGTATTTAATTCACACACATATTTTATCTTTTCAGAGTCGGGAGCTGGATTCCCAGAGTAAAGTGTGTGAGTTACTGAAGTATCAGGGTGAGGAGAAGCTGCTGAAGGAGCTCTGCAGGTGGTCCACCCCTCGCTTCCCTGTCAACGGTCACGATCTGAGGAGGATGGGCATCACGTCAGGCAAGGAGATAGGTGCCACTTTACAGAAGCTGCGTGACATCTGGAAGACAAGTCGTTATCAGATGGACAAAGATGAACTCCTCAGTTACGTGAAGCCTTAAATGAACAGAAAAGGCAGGGGTGTGCTGCTCTGACACTGTGCTGCTCACGGGTACTAATTGAGCCGACTGATGCGTGTTGCTAACAAAAGGACACTACAAGAACAGACATGTATGAATGCAATTTAATTCTAAATTACCCCAAGGCCACTTTTGTTCACCTGCTTAGCCACATGAATGAAGAGACACCACACCCTTCAACAACACAGAGACTGTCACTAGTTATACTGATGTGATTAGGTAAGAAGAAACGGAGGCAGAGCTGAGGGATGAAGTCACCAGTAACTAGAGAATAGTTACTTCAATAGTTAAGTATCTTCACTGTGCAGAATGATGTCTGTGCAGAGTTTGACTCCAGAAGGATATTCCACATTCATCTGCTGAAAGTTTCTGTGTTAACCAAAAACTAGATTTGAAGGAGCTGTGCCTATGAGCATGGTTTGTGACATCACAAATGATTTGGATGTCAGTCCTGGTCCGACAAGGACAGTGTGATGTAGAAATTTGAAGCCTTCAGTGCACATCCACTGAGAATGGACTTTACAGTAAAGGAGGAGACATCTTGTGTGCAGCAGGGAAACTTTAGAAATGATTAAACTTTGAATATTTATCGATTCTGGAATTTTTAGTGAGATAGTAGGATTTCTTTTGCTCCTGTCAGCTGTGTATTATTTCCTTGCTATGTTTTCTGTAAAGAAAATGATTTATAAAAAGGTTATACTTTTCATTGAAAGACTGACCTGGTGATTCTTCCATTCAAGTGCACACACTGCAGAATACAAACACGTATTTAAATTCATTCCACTTCCATGCCTTTGGCACTGTGAGGAATGGGCTCTGTGCTGGAGTGAGGTTGCTCCTCCCTCCTTCAGAGATGAGGAGATATAAAGCCCTCTCCCTCTCCTTTACTAACACCTCACTGGACACACTCAACACTTGTTGCTTACCGGGAACTCTGCAAATAAAGCGCCCCAACGATTTCTTTCAAGGAATTATCTTTTGATGAAATTGTTAAAAGACGAATTCCAGGCTGCCTGCGTACATTTATCTGCATTTCCCACTTCAGCTAGATTCACCTGGAATGGTTATATAACGGTGTATTGGCGTTATTTGCGGTGAAAGCATGGATTGGTTCGGTGTAAACATCAGTAACTCCACTTTGGAAAGCGCTCTGTCTGGGGATGTGCCGCGAGATGAGCGCTTGGCTCAGGTGGAAATAGCTCTTCTGTCCATCATCTTCATCATTGCAGGAATCCTGAACTCTGGGGTTTTGTTGGTGCTGTGGAAGCGGAGGAAGCAGCTCTCCAGGATGCGCGTCTTCGTTTTCCACCTCTGCGTCGCCGATCTGGTGGTCACATTTTTCCAAGTTTGTCCGCAACTCATGTGGGACATCACTGACAGATTCGTCGGTCCAGATGTATTGTGTCGCATAGTGAAGTACCTGCAGGTGGTCGGGATGTTTGCCTCCACCTATATGATAGTAGTGATGACGATAGACCGATACCAAGCCATCTGCAACCCCATGGTAACTTTCCAGAAGCGCAGGGCGCGCTGGAACGGTCCGGTGTGCGCCGCCTGGTGCGTCTCTCTCATCTTCGGCCTCCCGCAGATCTTCATCTTCTCTCGGGTTGAGGTCGCCCCCGGAGTGTACGACTGCTGGGCGCAGTTTATCAAGCCGTGGGGACCGAGAGCGTATGTGACCTGGACGACTCTGGTGATATTTGTCCTGCCCATTCTCACGGTGATCGTGTGCCAGGTGCGCATCTGCCGCACCGTGCACTTTAACTTTCACATGAAGACGCAGCACGTCGGAGCGGTGGTCAGTAAGCCGCTGTCCTCCAGGGCCAGCAGCGTCGCAGGGGTGTCCAAGGCGAGGGTGAAGACTGTGAAGATGACCATGGTCATCGTGCTCGCCTACATCATCTGCTGGACGCCTTTCTTCACCGTGCAGCTCTGGTCGGTCTGGGACGTCGAGGCGCCCACTGAGAGTAAGATAACATGGACATTTTCATCATTCATTCATTTTCAAATTGTACAATAAATCAAGTATATTGCTCTTTATTCCTAGAGATGAAAATTAGGGCAAACTGATGATAAAATTAGATATCATAGCTAGAAATTGTTCCTTAAATAAAACCGATCAAAATATAAGAATTAAAGTTATAGTTGAATCTTTTTCTCCTCTACATTTCCAGCTGCAACCTTCACCATATTGATGCTGCTGGCAAGTCTGAACAGCTGTGCGAACCCCTGCATCTACCTAATGTTTAGCGGGAATCTGCACAAGAGACTGGTGGCCCTGATGTGTGTGGATCAGCCTGATCTGAAGGGGTCCATCCAGGAGGAGGCCACCATGGTCAGCTCCCTGTACATCAGCCTCAAGAGCCTGTCAGACTGCAGATAAAAGTACTGACGTGTCAAACGCTTCTCTCACCTCAGGCTGGTGAATGTGGTGCAAAACTGTGGCTCTCATGAGGAAGACTTACTGGAAACCTCTAATAAGTGTGAGGACAAACATCATAGCAGAACTGAGAGTTCCTGTAGTAGCAGTATTTTAAGACCACATTGTAGAAATTAACAGCCAATGAAAAGGTTTCATGTGGAAACTCACTACAGAGTTCCAGACACAACGAAATGTTTATGGGGATATTACAGTGGAACATTAACTATGATACAGTTGCTATAAAGTCACGATTATATAATGCATACCTTTTTAAATGTTCAAAGCTTGTTATAGATTTTTTTTTTTTTTTTTTCTAGAGATCCACCACTTTGGTCAAGAGAGTAATATCTTAACAGCTACTGGATGAATTACCATGAAATATTGTACAGACATTCATCGTCAGAGGATGAAACCTACTGACTTTGATGAGCCCCTGACTTTCCCTCTAGCGCTACCATGAGCCTGACATGTGGGTTTCAGTGAAAAAGCATGAAAGCAGCCAGTGTTTGGTTTGTCCATTCTGGGCTACTGTAGAAACATAGTGGTTCAACATGGGGGACTCCTTAAAAGAAGACCCACTCCCTCTGTAGATAAAAACATCTCATTCTTATTAGGTTTGGCAGACAAATAAAACTATTTTAATTACAGGTGATTAGACACTTATAAAAACAGTATATTACTAATACTAATATAGTTAATACTTCCTTTCTGCCAATAAATCCTCCTAGGAATGTTTCACACTGGACCTTTAACTTTTCACCTAGCACCATCATCAGGTGAAACTTTTAATTTGTGGAATACTTTGGTTTATGACCAAATACCTGCAAAACTAATGACATTCCCCTCCGCATCACTTGTACTTTGTGTTTAGTGCTAATATACAAAAATGTTAGTATAATAACACACTGGCATGAGCATATTCGCATGCCGACATTTGCATTTAGCTCCTAGTGAGCCCCTAGCATAGCTTTAGACTTAGTTTTTTTAGTAATGTACCAAAATCTGGGTTAGCATTCATGTTCAATGATGTTTTGATCATTAGGCTGCAGTAGGTATGCAGCTGTTCCGTCATAATCTCCTGGGCCCTCCGACAGGCGACACCACTCTCTAGCCCTGACCTAACGTGCCCTCAAATTGCCTTTAAATCCTGCAATCACCCAAGCAAGGAGCAGGTAATCTCTCTTCGCCTCAGTTAAACTAATGGTGGCATAAAATGTGACCCCTTACTGTTGACAAAACGTAATTTATTTGGGAGCAACAGCACAATATGCATCAGGTTATTTTGTCAGAAAGATATAAATAATAATGATTAAGAATCATGAAATGGACACACCATTTGCATTTAAGAGGCAGATTGTATTTGATTGCATGTAATCTTTTTTGACAAAAAGACTTGTGTAACATTTAAGCTTGTGAAATTATGAGTAATGATTCTCTCATTTTCAGTAATCTATGCGTGATGTGAAAGTGTTTCACTCAAATGTAAATGTGTTTTATCCTGTAAATATGTAATCGTTCGTATGTATCATATGTCCTTTAAATGTGATTCAGCAGTCTACTTTACATCTGTATACTGTATATGATCATATCACTGGATAAATGCACAGAAATACGACACTATCAGCAGTGATATGTTTGTAATTGTCAAAGATACAGACAGTATGCATAAGATTACAGACTGGATCTTTGACAGATTTTATTTTCATTTTGATATAATGTACAGATCTGAATAGAGATACAAAAACTTGTATACCATTGGATCTTTCCTGATGCAGGTCCTTTTTTTGTCCAATCTATGTTTGATAATGACATATAACTGTTGGTTATAATAGTTTTCACACAACAGATGGGTCTGTGTATGTTAAATCTTTATTATGTCCAGATATGCAGGAAGATGCTCGCTGATAAATCTTACAACATGTTTACGTCTTTCTCTCGAGCCCTAAGGAATGACTCTGAGGTGCTGCCAAATAAACTGCTTTGATCTTGTGTCTTTTCATGTGTCTGCTTTCTGTCTTCCCAATAGCACTGTCTTGTTTAGAAAAATGTCCCTTTGGATTTAAAGCTGAAACCTTTATTTGCACTCTAGACTTCTGTTTGCCTGCAGTTTATTTTATGTTTCCTCTGTATGTCACCTGCTAGTCTCCTCATATTCCATTTGGAGAACGGGAACATTAGGAAAACCAGTTGACAAACCAGGAGACACACGGGTGGAAAGACATTATTCAAGGACAAATGCTGTATTATGGCTCAGTGATTTACAGATGTCTCTCTAGCTGGAGCATGTCATATAGCTCAGGCTACGTGAGAAACATGAGCAAAACCTGGCATATGGCAATTCTTTCAGAAATGTGTCTTTCATATGTTTTAATATTTTAGACTAAAATTACGCCATCTACCTCACAACATGGAAGATTTGAATTTTATGAATTGGCTTTCACCAATATGCACAGATAGATCCACCAGAAATCCTGCTGCAAAGTGCTCTCAGTTTGTCCTCATCAGTTACTGTGTGGCAGCTGGCTGCAGCCACTCAACTCTGACCTTTAACGCTAATAGAATGACCAGCAGCCACCAGTGCACCATCCCCAGCTGACAGGTCAAGGCATCATTATTTCCGCCAGGCACCTCGGTACGTAAACGGGAAGACAAATTTGACCTAGAAATAAATTACTATTACAATGCTTTACTTAAGCAAAAGTACCACTTCAGCTATGTAGAGTTCAGTATGCAGTTCTTGTAATACATCTACAGCATCATGCCAGTTAAATGAAATCATTTTGGTTGCATTTGGAGCCTAAGCTAGAAATTTGAAATTTGGAGTGCTAGAGTTTCAGTATTAATTTACTGAGCACAGAAATGAGCCCATAAGCTCTACCGTGTCTGTTTTTACCACTAGGAAAAAAAGAACAGAAAACTTTACAGTAGAACTGGACAACTAACAAATGTTACCAAGGGACTGACATTAGCCAGGTCTATTCATCATCCAGAGCCCTTAAGCTTCTGTTCAGAGCCTGAGATCTTCATCTAATGAAAAATGATGTACACTGTTGTTTACTCATCAGTTTTAATATTGAGACTGACATTTTTTTCAGTGTAATAGTGTTTATAGTGGGAATAGACTTGCTGTGTAATTATACTGAAATAAGTAATACTATATGGCCGCATACACAATATTTACAAGGGATTTATTTTACAACCCGAGAATAATATTGTAATAAGAGGGCTTCCTAACATATTTTCAGTGCTTTGTCCTGATGGAAGAACACTACAACTATTACCTCACTGGAAGTGCATGTGTTTAATAAAATTTGAGTGATGAGTAGCTCACCATGGTCTTATTTATATTTTAAGGTTTTATTTTTTTTAAATAGAAATACATTAATGAAATGAAATGCTTTAAAATGTTGTAAATTACTGTTAGGAATAATGACCAAAATAGATTTAGTTTTAAGGTTCAACATGTAAAGCTACATATATTTTGAACCTGCTATAAATCTTAAATGAAATGACAAATGACAAACGCCATGCTGCAAAAGGTTTATTATCGCCATTTCTTGTAAATTCGAATTTTGATGAATAAACTGAATTATGAACAGATGAAAAGAGACTTGTATTGTGTATGTGAACATCGTACTCATACTTATGTGTTTAAAAAGCCATTCATTAAACCTTTAAGATAATACGTGTTCAAGCTCTAAATGGTTCTTCCTGAAAGATTCAGTGCCCCGAAGGTACGAAATTGCTCTTCATATAAGAAGCCACTTGCACAGATTGCATTTACTGGTTTTCAATTCAAAACAACGACCACTTTTTCATTCCTCGCATACATCAGAAAAGAAAATCTTGCTCATTAGTATAGATGTAAATGAGGATGCTGCTGTCAAGGTTAGAAACATTCACTGATTTCCAAATTAGTAGGCAATGGTTCATACAAAGCACACTGGAAATGATAAAAGCATGCAGTCAATTATTCCATTTTTACCACACAAGTCCTGTCAATTAGTCAAATAAGTATTAAATTGCTTGACCTGCTTGGTATTCTCTATCTATTTCTCTTGACTGAAAAGATCCCAAGTGGCTCTTCACATTTAATGGAAAAACCTCTGACAGAAAAACACATCATATGAACCAGAAAGTATGGTTACAAAACATCATACTCATCTGCATCTGATGTCGCTCCTTCCACATGTCCATGTACATATACATATATATATATTGCATGCAAATGTGTCATCTCTCAAAGTCTGAAGTTGTTTAAAACACTGAATTGTTAAACATAAGGGGGTCCTCTGTGTGTGTGAGATGCATCGTAAAATAGAAACAAGAACAGCTTGTTATGTTATGGTAACTGACCTAGCTGCCATTTAATGCTTCTTTTTTGTGCTCTGCATTTTTGTCCCACGGTATGAGTCAACAAACAGAACAAACACATGTTTATATGTCATGTCCAGGACGCATTCAGTAGCATGCCATAAATAATGAGTCAGATCTGTAGTGAGATTCTATGAAACATGGGATGTTTCAGTGACATTTCTCTATTACAATGTATATTTCACATATCGGATGACTGGATTGGATTATTTGACACACATCCAAAAAGAGAGAAAAAAAAAAACACCAAAGCTGCTGTGATCCAGATGCTTCACTAATATCATACGTGAGTTTCTCATGAAACTTTTATAGCGAGTGCAAAGATGAATAAAGCAGTGTATAATTCATGCTCCTGACCTCCGCTTAATTAAAATGAAACAGGGCTGTGAGTTCATGATCGCTGCTAGTCCCAGGAATAGGTCTGACTCCTTATTATCTCCAGAGCCTGGGGGATAGTGTCCATTCATCAGAGCTGCTATTAGGCCCTGATGAAGGTTGTAGTAGAGTCATTTCTAATTGTAGTTTTGAGGGAAGGTAAGGTCAGGAAGTTAAGGAGTGGGGATTGATCATGTTTCAAATTTGTATCACAGTGAATGTAATTAAGCCTTTTTTTTTTTTTAAATCACAGGTTAATAATCAACACAACTTTATTCTTTTGTCAGCTGCACACACTGATAACACTGAACTCAGCTTTCTGGCTGATATGAGGCCTCTATAGCCCGCTTCAAAAGTCTATGACGATTTTCTCCAGTCGTCATCTCTGTTGTGTGTGTGGGCCAATTCAGGTCCAGCACACTACTGCATTAAGCGAGGTGAGTGTAATTACTCAATGAGTACCAGCTGAGATCATCAAC